CAGGTGTTTCAGGGGCTCATCCTTCATGAAGTTGTCACAAGAGCTGGGGTGCCAGATATGTATACAACCTCCTTTCAGGGAGACACTGGTGACTTGGTTTTATTATTGGAGTGGCCTGGAAGGAGAAGATGGGAGGAGTGTCTGCAACCTTCATCAGTCTTTGAGGAGGACCACAGCCCTGAGGTGCCTGCTAAGTTAGAAGCCCCAGGTGGCAGTGGCAGCTTTTTTTTTTTTTTTTGCGGTACGCGAGCCTCTCACCGTTGTGGCCTCTCCCACTGCGGAGCACAGGCTCCGGACGCGCAGGCTCAGCGGCCATGGCTCACGGGCCCAGCCGCTCCGCGGCATGTGGGATCTTCCCGGACCGCGGCACGAACCTGTGTTCCCTGCATCGGCAGGCGGACTCTCAACCACTGCGCCACCACGGAAGCCCCAGCTTTTAAAGTATCCACATAAAAACCTTTATCAGGCAAAGATGGGGAGCTGGGCGTTGTTTTGTCTGCTCCTTCTGTGCTGAACCTCAGGGAGATAGATTGTTAAGAACTGCTTCTTTGTTTGTTACAGTTCCATGGGACTCATGAATGGCAGCTCCACTGGCTGTCAAAGCCAGGAAATCTGGGGACCCATCGCATAGGTGGCGGCCCTAAAAGCTGGGGTGCAGTCATGTATGAGCTCCTTCCAGGGAGATACTGGCAACTTGGGGAGGACCGGAGGCAGAAGGTGGGAGGGATATTTGTTGGCTTTCTCTGTCTCTGGGGAGATTCACATGCAGTGTCTAGAAGCCTGCTAAATTAGAAGACGGGCCCTCAGGCAGCAGCTGTTATAGTATTCAGATAACACTTGCAGGGAAAGACGGGGAGATGGGTGATTCTGCCTGCTCCCTCTGCACTCGGCCCTGGGGCAACAGCTGCATCAGTGCTCGTGCACCCGTTAAGAATTGCGTCTTTGTTTGCTATCGTCTTGGGGACACAAGCCCCGCTGGCTTTTAGAGTCAGGTGTTTCGGGGTCCGTCCCTCTGTTGCAACTCTTAAAATTTGGGATGCTAGATGGGGGCTCTAAACCCTTTGCTTCTCAGGGAGAACATGAGAGTTGATGGTTCACTTCCAGCTGTGTGGTCGTGTGCCAGGGGTGGGGTTTATGGTGACAGTGTGTCTTAGCCTTTTCTACCCTTAGCCTTTTCGATGTGGGTATTTTCTCATTCATCTGATGTGTAGAAGTTACTCAACTAGTTTCTGGATCTCTTTCAGAGGGAATTTACATCCACGTGTACATTTGGTGTATCCATGGGAGGAAGGGAGCTCAGGGGTCTCCTGTGTTGCCATTTTGGCCTACCCTGTCCGTTTCTTTCTGAATCTCTGTCTGTCTGTCTCTCTCTTTCCTGTGTGTCTATCTCATCTCTGTCTTGCCCACTATCTTCCTATCACCCTTTGTAGCCCCGTCTCTCTGTTAAACTACCTGTCCCAATGTCAACTCTCTTTTCTTTTTCTCTGTGTAGCTACATTGCTCCTTTAGACCTATTCTTCCTATCAGGGAACATTTCTCCCAAGAGTTCTGACTTGATGATCAGAGAGGAAAGGCAGTTTTTTCCTGCCAGCTCAGTTAGAGAAATCCTGAGGAAGTCCTCTAAACTGTCCTGGCATGTTCTGACCACCACAGCCAAGATGTCTCATGATCACACTGGATCATGTGCCATCCTGGGGCATCAGAGGGTTGGGCTCCTGTGATTGACCACCCTGGACAAAGCACATGGCGTGAGGTGGGTAGAACAGTCCTGCAGAGGATGGAAGGGTTGTAGGGGTGCTAAGGCAACCATGACCAGAGGTGTCCGCTCTCGGGAGCCAAGACCGACTCCAGGGAAACAAACACACAACTTAATAACAATACAAGTGCTGGAGGATGTTCAGTCTTGATTCTGAATTCTCTAGCAGTTCAAAGGTGGGAGAGCTAGAGTAATCAAGGAAGACTTCCAGGAGGACCTGATTCTTGGTTTTAACCTTAAAAGGTGTATAAGATTTAGATAGGTGGAAAGGAGTGAGCAATCCTGGAGGAGCAGTTTCTGTGCTTGTTTTATTGGTGGTGTTTGCCTTGTTTCAAGCTCCTAAGAGGCAAGGACTTTTCTTTTGTTAAAGAACATAGTGCTTGATGCCCGTAGTGAGACTGTCATTATGGTTCCAGTTCTGACCATCCTACCCTGCCATTGACCTTGGGGGAGGATAGAAGAATAATACCTGAGAGGCCTCTGGTTCTAAGAATACCAACTTGCTTATAAAGAAGCAGGGAGGCTGTAGAACAGAGGTGTCCATATAGTCCCTTCTGTGTGTCTGACCTCAAGTGAGTTTCACATCGGAATTTTGTCATTGTCATGGGCAGATTGGATTGTTCATTAATTCAGTAAATATATCAGTAGCACCTAATATATACTAGGCACTTAGGTGCCAAGGATTCAAAGATAAATAGACAGAATCCTACTTCTTTGAAGTTTATATCCAAGTACAGAATTCACGGAAGTGCAATTACATGCGACGTGATTGAGTCATGCAAAGCAGTGGTTCTAAGACTTGGCTGTGCACGGAAATAACCTGGGAGCTTTCAAAATTACGGATGCCAGGGCTTCCCTGGTGGCGCAGTGGTTAAGAATCCGCCTGCCAATGCAGGGGAACACAGGTTCGAGCCCTGGTCCAGGAAAATCCCACATGCCACAGAGCAACTAAGCCCGTGCACCACAACTACTGAGCCTGCACTCCACAGCCCGCGAGCCACAACTCCTGAAGCCTGCGCGCCTAGAGTCCATGCTCCGCAACAAGAGAAGCCCGTGCACGGCAACGAAGAGTAGCTCCCACTCGCCACAACTAGAGAAAGCCCGTGCACAGCAACAAAGACCCAATGCAGCCAAAATAATAAATAAATAAAATAAATTTAAATAAAAAAAAATGCGGGGCTTCCCTGTTGGTGCAGTGGTTGAGAGTTCACCTGCCGATGCAGGGGACACGGGTTCGTGCCCCGGTCCGGGAGGATCCCACATGCCGCGGAGCGGCTGGGCCCGTGAGCCATGGCCGCTGAGCCTGCGCGTCCGGAGCCTGTGCTCCGCAACGGGTGAGGCCACAGCAGTGAGAGGCCCACGTACCACAAAAACAAAAAATAACGAACAAAACAACAACCAAAAAAATGCGGATGCCTTGAGCTTATCCCAAAGGTTTTGATTTCATTGGTTTGGGGAGGGGCCCAGGCATCTGGATGTTTCACAGCTCACCCAGTGGCTCTCGTGAGCAGCCAGGTTTGAGAACCACCAAGGTTAGGATGCTGTGGAAGCAGATAAAGGTTCTTCAGTGAGATGAGGGATGGATAGGCTGCTGGAGGGGTGAGACCCACTGAGCATTGAAGGAAAGGGGAGAGGTAGCTGGAGAAGGAAAGGGGCAGGGAGAGAGTTCCATCTAAAGGACATTGCAAGCAGAGGGGAGAAGAGCCAAGAAGGCTGGGAGCTGCTCTCGATGGAGAAGTCTCAGTCAGTCAGTCTCTCTAGTTCTGGCCTAAGTCCCCGTGTCGTCTTAGGTACATATCCATTTCTCTGTGCCACAGTTTCCCATTCAGTCAAATATAACTAATGGTACCTGTTCTCCCTACCTTAGGCATCAAATGAGGTGAGGAAAAGTTAAAAGATAGTGTATCAGTGATCACTGGGAAAAAATATAGCGTTAGAGTAAAACTTCTTTTATTCAGTATTTTTTTGGGAAAGAAGTCTTTTACATAAATGAACTTTTAAAGCAACTGAAATTTAGCCATTCAAGACAATAATCATTAACAAATAAAAATCATTTCATTTTTCCTAACATAGGTCATTTGCAACCCTATTTTCTTAGAGTAAACTGATATCGTTAGCCTCCTGCTTCCTGTTCTCTGCATTCAGCCCCTCAACAGAGATGTCAGATACCGACCCGTGCTATACAGCTATGGCCTCAGCATCAGAAGAAGTGTAGTAGATTTATGATGTAGAAGATTGGGTTTTGAGTTCTTTGGTCTGTTTTTCATAAGTTTTCAATTTGTCTTGCTATCTGGGTACCTCGGTTCTCATTGTTTTAAATTCTCCTTTTTCTTTCTAACTTGCTGCCTCTTCCCTATTGAGGACTGTAAAACCAGAAAACCAATCTTAGAATGAAATTTAAAAGTAAAACGACTGTGAGTCCAAGCTTGCTGGAGAGGGTGGATTATGTGATGTCTTTAGTGCATGAATGTTTTAATGTCTGTGCTGCCTCTTTTAGCTGACTTTCTGGGTCTTACTCTGGCCTGGATATCTCATGCAGGAGGTAGCTGACTGGGCTCTATGTGTGGGAGGTTGGAGGCCCACAGGAATTAGTTCGTCAGGATTCTCAGCCTTCCTTTTTCTGACTATTGACCATCCACCTTTAAAGTTTCCCACTCCTATCACCAGAATTGTGTCCCTGTTAGACCCGATTTTGAATGTTTGTCACCAAACATTTATTGTTCACAAGGCAGGGGTAAGGAAGGGCAGATGGGTCCAAACTCAGGAGGGTAGGAGTGTCTGGAAGCAGATAGCCAGAACGGAGGCTAAACCACCTTCCCCAGGGGCAGAACGTGGGAGTAGCACACCCCAAGTGGGAGGGCAGAGGGGAAGGAAGTGGTGGAAATAACCGGGTGTGACAAGACTGGGGAAGTGGAAGGTATGAGGTGGGGAAGGGTTGAGGACAGAGGTTTAGACCAGCTTTACTATGGAGTACATTACTCTGTGCTCCTTTATGTTTTTTTTGAGAGTTACTGACTCCGTGACACTGCTCCAAGACACATGAGTTGTGACCATTATAGGTGACAGCTGCTAGAGAGAGCCACCCTGCAGGGGCTGCAAGTCGCCATATTCTGTGGGTCCCCATGGTGCAAGACAGGCCATCTTGAGAAAGTCGCTTTCTGAGTAATAACCCTGAATGGTTCCCCACTTTGTTGTCTGCCATCCTCATGGTCACTGAGCTTCTGACTCTCCTTTCCTTCCCCAGGTCGGTGTCCGGATTGGATAAAGAGGCGGACTTGGTGCACATGGAAGTGCGGACAGCTGATGGATGTGAGTACTGAGGCCGCCAGGCTGGGCCCGGGAGATCTGCCTGCAGGTCTCCCTTCTCCCCCAATTTGCATTTTAATGGCTTGGGAAGATGAAAAGCCCTGAGCTCCCTTACTGCCGTATGCATTTTATTTCCTAGAGTGGGGGAGAGGCCTCCAGTCCCAAGGGAGACATTTCATTGAAATAAACCCTTAGGAATGAATTTTCTGGGGATGGGAGTTAATGTGACCAATTTTGAGGCTCCTGTTAGTAATTCCCTGGCATCTTCAGTGTAATTCACATAGGGATGGCCGTAGCTCATCGTGGTATTTTGCATTCACATGGTGAATAAGATGATGCCAGCTTTAAAAAAATAAACTTTATATAGTCAAGATTACCAAAAAAAAAGTAACCGGACAAACTATTTCCAGAATTGTTTGTTCATTCATTCAGCAAATATTGAGGGATGGCCTACCGTGTACCAGGCAAGATTCTTAGCCCTGGAGATACAGGGGTGAGCCAGACCTCTACTGTCCCCGCACATCAGCCATGGAATCCAGGACTTCAAACATTGACCCCTTTGTACATCGTACACCTGTCTACATCTTGAACAGAATTTGACTGATAAAGTATGATTTTACACCAACTTAAGTATCTATAGGGCTCTTCCCTGTCCCAGAAAGATAAAATCAACTTAAATATGTGAAAATATATGATAAATATGAAATCTGAAAAATATATGGAAATATAATTAGCATATACTAGATCACAAATAGAGCCAAATAATCCATGGAAATAATAGTGACCTAGGGGCGCAGCAGATCAAAGCACAGGACTGTGAGCTGAGGTCCTGGGTCCTGCCACCCACTAGCCATGAGACCATGAGACCCCCTAACCTCTCTGTGCTCTGGCTTCCTACTATCTGAGGATGCTCATCCTTGCCCTGCCTGCCTCGTAGGGTTATGGGTTGAATGTACAAACAGAAGGAGATTCTTTGTGACCTGGATGCAGGTATCGGATGTGCTTGTGCTTTGTCCATGGGAAGTCTACTGCTTTTGAGGCCAAACTCAGATGTATGCTAGAAACATGCACTTTGGGGAATATATTTTATTTGCTTTATTTTTATTTTTAAAAGAGTTAGAAGGCAAATGACACTTGTTACTATATACCTGGTACTCTGCTGAGTTCCTTCCTTCCTTCCTTCCTTCCTCCCTCCTTCTTTCTTCCTTCCTTCCTTCCTTCCTTCCTTCCTCCCTCCTTCTTTCTTCCTTCCTTCCTTCCTTCCTTTCTCTCTTTCTTTCTTTCTCTCTTTCTCTCTTTCTCTCTTTCTCCGATGCAGCCAGGGATGAGGGATGACCCACACTATTTTTACATTTTCTTTTTTTAACAGAAGAGTTATATTTTAGGGAGGTAATGCCACATATTCAAATTCACTGATCATAAGTGTGGTGAAGCCTAAATTCGAAATTACTCTTAGTGCTGAGAAAAAAAAAACATGGAAAATTAGAGGACTAGTGGGATGGAGGGAGGGGTTTGAAGGAGCATAGCAGGAAAGCCAGAGGGGAGCAGACAGCAGCTCTCAGAAGATGACCCACAGACAAGTTTTCAGGACAACCCCTGCCTTGGCTTCACTTGTCATGTCAACATTGTTAAGCTGTATATGTGATCTGTGGTGGTTGTAATATTTTAGAGTTGGAGGAAACTTTATATGCCTGTCTGACCTCCTACTTAGTGTAGGAATCCCTTCCCCCGGAATCTCTTATAGTGTGTCCTCAGGTTTCATGAGCTCAGGCTTAAGACATATCCTTTTCTACTGCTGGACAGCTCCTTTTTTTTTTTTAAGGTAATTTCTTACATAAAGCTCAAACTTACTTTCTGAAAGTTCAAGAATTCTGGTCCACATTGGGATAAGGCCTGTGGTACAGAACTGCTGTGAAATTTTATGAGATTAAAAATGCAAAACACATAGAAGAGTTCCTGGCCTATTGTCAAGAATTGAAAAAAGCAGACAGAAGTATAACAGGGATAAATGTCATATGCCACACTTAGGTTAAAGTATAGTATATATTAATTCTGTGTCATTTTTTAGGTTTGTTTTTTTTGTTTTGTTTTGTTTTTTGTGGTACGCGGGCCTCTCACTGCTGTGGCCTCTCTCGTTACGGAGCACAGGCTCCGGATGCGCAGGCTCAGCGGTCATGGCTCACGGGCCCAGCTGCTCCACGGCATGTGGGATCTTCCCAGACCGGGGCACGAACCCGTGTCCCCTGCATGGCAGGTGGACTCTCAACCACTGTGCCACCAGAGAAGCCCTGGAGAGCTTTTTAAAACACACCCTCCGTATTTCTGACAAGCTCCCAGCTGATGCTGCTGGCTAGTAGACCCCACTTTGATCAGCACTGCACTGCACGAAGCTGTGGAGGGTGTGTGGGTGAATAGGACACAATCAGAATTGAGTAGCAGAGGCAGAGAAGTACACAGATTATTACTGCAATATAATGTGCCAAAGGCCATGGGGACTCTGTTTTGTCTCATGAAGAAAGTGCTATCTGTGCGAACCAAAAGGCAGGGTAGCCCAGTCGCTGAGGAGCGACTGAAGGCTGCACTGAAGAGCCCATGGTTAAGTTTCATCTTGGGAGATGAGTTGGATTTTCCCAAGGGGGTGGTAGAAAAGGAGAGTGAGAAATTTATGCTAGACTTGTACTGTCCAATATGGTAGCCATTCAGTTACACGCGGTTATTGAACACTTGAGATGTGATGTCCAAATTGATGTGTGCCGTACGTGTGGAATACACACCAGATTTCAAAGACTTAATATGAATAAAATGATGGAAAATAGCCCATTAGTAATTTTTATATTAGTTACATGATGAAATCATAATATTTGGGGTTAAATCAAATATGTTAAATGTACACTTTTCTGTTTACCTTTTAAGTATGGCTACTGGGAAATTTGAAAGGTCATTAGTAGCTCCCATTGTGTATCCATTGCACAGGACCGCCCTAGACTGAGGGGCTGCAGGTGCAGCAGCATGGAGTGTGGCTCTTCAGTGCCTGGTGTGGCATTGACAGTCCTGTCTCTAAACCTGGCTCCCACACTCTGGAGCAAACCCAACATAAACAAGTCCCTTTTCTTGTTTCGGTGTAAGAATCTCCAGTCTTCCCCAGTCCTGGTCCTCCCCTTTGGGAGTCAGACTTCCTTAAACTAAAGCCATTGAATTATCTGTTGCCTTGGCATGGTTTAAACAGGGCAGAGCCAACCAATTTGGTTAATAACAGTGTGAAACCTGTTTCTGCCATGAGATTCAGGATTCAAATGGCTTTTTCTCCCATTCTCTTCTGGAAATCATCTCTCTCTGAATGTCTCAATGTCCCCTGTGAATATTCATATTTATATTCATATTCATGTTCTCTCTCCCTCTCTTTCTCTCTCTCTCTCTTTCACTCACTCAGTCACACACACACACCTTCTCCATCAAAGAGACCATTGAGTGTCAATAGAAAGAGTATTAACTTGGTGCCCTAAGAGTTAAGTTGGAGAATTAACTCTGTCAATTAGAGCCTGTTTGACCCTGGACAATTTTTTTTTTAAACTTTCTGGGAATCTTCTAGTGCTTCACATGTTTGAATACACAAATATAAGAGGTATTTTTATCATTTTTTTCATCAGTTGGATAACAAAGATCTTATTGTAGAGTAAAATTTACAATGAGGCAGATTTCAGTTCAATGAACAAAGGAGGGACAATTAAGAGGACCGCAAAATGGTGCAGACTGCTCTGTGAAGTAGTTGATTCCTGTTTAGTGGAAATTTTCAGGCATAAGCTATATGGGGGCCTTGTAGGACACGGTAATAAGTGAAACTCGACATGAGCTCTAAGTTTTTAGACATCTAGACTTGAAATTTCTAGAATCAAAACCACAGCACATAGACTACCATTCCTTGTCCTGGTACTGTTACCAACTCTCTTCATCAATTACTGCACTTTCTCAGTAAGCCGAGATAAAGCCCAGGACATCTTAACAGAGCATTCCAGGCAGTCATTAGTAATCAAATGGGCAAAACTATTAGCCCTGAAGTCTAAACTGTAGGTTCTAGATACATAGAATAATGGCTCTTAAAAAACTTTGGGTTACTGACTAGTTCAATGGTTGTAAACTGTGTAACTCAGAGATCCAGCAGTATTCTAAGAACTCAGAGGCCAAGAAGAGGATGAGGGGGAGCTAAACCAACAGGATTGCAAGCCTTCTGTTCATTTAGACAAGGCACACTAAAATCTACTTGATATATTGAGAATATAGGATTGTTTTTGATAAAGGATCTCAGAATTTTAAAAAAGGGTTGGAATGGATTAGAAATTTTCAAACTGTATCACTCTCCAAAAAGCACCAAAATGTGTAACAATTTGCCCAAGGTTACATAGACAGTCAGTGACAGGGACTGAACCAGAATGTAGATTCTGGTCTGATTCTCAGCCCGATTTTCCTTCCATGGTTCAAGTACATAACGATTAGGATCACTGGTTCTGGTGTCAAGTCGCCTGGGTTCAAATCCCAGAACCCTGGGGAGTATCAGGAGTCCTAAGGTATTCAGGATCGCTGTGGTTTCTAAATGTCTATAACTCTGCCAGGTTCCCCTTCTTTTCTAGAAGGAAAAGGCACTAGAATTCTCCTGTGAGCAAATCCATAAGCACAATAGGAAGGAATAGTCGCTACCTTTTCTTGCTTTGCTGATTTTTATTACCTACCTTGTCTCAGGTGCTGTGTTAGGCATTTGGAACAATGTCAGTATCCTTTGTTTTGCCCTGTGCCTACAAATAGTTTAGCCTCACTCCCCAGTCAAGGAAAAGGAGGCTTTTGGAAGCTAAATAACTTTTCAGAGTTTCTTGGAATCTGCTGGATTTCACTTATTTGCATTTGACAGTCAATGTTGTTATTTAAAATAAATAGCTCCTGGGTATTTCTCTAAGAAAAGACCTGAAGAGCTGAATTTGCTTTTTGTTCACAATTTTAATTCACTTTTTCAA